TTATAAGGTAGCTTGACCCAGGGACCACTTAGTGTAAATGTTGGGCCCATTAAGAGCCCATGGTGATGGGCTCAGGGGTTCACTGTTTCCTACAGTGAATTCGGCCAAGCCTTGTAACAGAGGCTGGGCTGAACCCATGTGGCTAATGTGTAGATCAATGTTTGGGTCCCACGCCATACAAGGATACCCAATTGTGCAGTAGTTTGGAGGATATGTGAGCACATGGACTTAATGGGCCTGAAGCCCAATTTGAACTGGTATAATATGATTATTTAAAAAGGGGCGGTTCTGGGATTTAGATCAACAGATAGGATAGAGAGTTATCCCTATCCACTCAAAGAGTCCAGATCCAAATAAAGATTTGGATTAGGAAACTCCTAATAAGATTAGGAGGGCTGATCTTTATCTGCAGATAAGATAAGGGTTTATTCTTATCTCTTAAATAGAGTCCAGATCCAAATAAGATTTGGATTAGGAAACTCCTAATGGGATTAGGAGAAGCTCTCTTTAAGGCTATAAATAGAGGAGGAGGGTGAACCCCAAATCATCCTTCAAGATTACAGATTCAAGAGAGAAGACAGCTCCAGTTAGACTGACGCCATCTTCTGCTCTTGCCTCCCTCTATTGCTGCTGCCATAGCCAATTCGTTCTCCACCTGTAGAAGCGATCAAGGAGCATTCTTGATATCAATTTTTGGTGAAAAAATGATCTGAAGTCGTGCTCACTCACCCTCCATCGAATTCTTGTTGAAGAGTTTGGTTCTTGCTAAAGAACCACCTGCTGATTCTGCTCCACCCTACGTTGTGTCATCTTCAGTGGGAGCAATCTTTGGCATTTTCCTTGGGCGTGAACACCTTCGTTGGGAGTTACTGTTACTCCATATCAGGTACATCCCTCTCCTACCTTTTGGTTTCAGATCTGGTCTGGTTTAGGGTTCAAGATTGATCCTTGAAAATGCAGTTTTCTAAAATAGGGAATGTAATTCCCATATGGGAGAGGGGAATTTTTGAAACTTCGCCCTACCTACCTGCAGGGTTTGGCTATCCATATGATGGATCTCTCATCCCTTCAGAGCTACCCTATACTTCCAAATTCCAACACTCTGCACCCCCCCCCATTGGCATTCCATCAGATTTGAACTTTCATGAGACCATTTTGCCCTCTCCTTATTGCATCTCCAATCAAGTTTTGAACTTTTCCTATCTTCTTTTTTTTCTTTCATTTGTTTAAGAGAGAGGAAGAGTTAAAAATGGCAGAACATCTGCCATTGTTGGTTCTAACCAACAATAAAGGAGAGGGCAAAGTGGTCTCATAGAAGTTCAAAACTGACAAAATACTAACAGCAAGAAAAGACTGTTGAAATCTGAAAGTACAAGGTAGCTCTCTATCACAAATGAAAGTTCGGGGACCTAAGTGTCACTATCCCCAAAGTACAGGGTAGTTCTCTGCATTTACCCTATTCATAATTATCAGGGCATATGGCTGGGGTTGCAAGGAAGGTTTGTGGTTGCAACATCATATTAGAGAAGCTAGGTCTTTGGCAGCTAAAATGAACATCTCATTCAGTTGGTTGGCAAAGATCAACAAACTCCTTCGCAGACAAAATCCCTATATCCGGGTTTCATAGAGCTGAAGCTTATTCAGAAGTCACCATCCTTTATTGGGTGAGGGAATTGTTGGCTTACTTCCAAGGTTTTCTATTTTCATTGCTTGGTTTGGCCCTGATGTCAGCTAGCATCTAACCAAGTTTCTAAGTATTGATACAGACCGATGCACCGGATAGATAGGCACTTTATATTTTTTTTAGATTTTTTTCAAACTTGTTCAGGGGTTGCGAAATTTTTATCCTTGCATCTAACCCTTGGTATGGCCTCTTCTATTATCTCTTTATTTCTTGTATTTTTCTGTAGTTTCTAATCTTTTTTTTTTATGTTTTGTTCGGTCCGATAAAATCTCTGCTAATGATCAAATATAGAAAGAACTAGTCTCTTTGGTGAAGAAAAGGACCATAGGGAACTAAAAGAGAAAACTGGCCTCAGGTAGGCATGCCTGAATGTTGAAAACAAAATTAGCTGCATGCTAGTATGAGAAGAAAAAAGAACAGAAAACAAAAAATAACATCAGAGTGATTGTGAGAGAGAAAGCATATGAATACCAACATTGGCAGTCCACTATTCCTACTTTGTTCAACAGATTCATCTCCTCATTTACGATGGAGGGTACCTTTAAGACTGGGTCACAGGAGTGGATCTGGACTCAAATTCCATTCCCACCCCAGTTCAGTGGAATTGAAATCATACTCCACCCATGTCATTCATATTCCAATAAAGAAAATAGCATAAGTTCAACTATTATTACATTCATTTTTGTTTAATATAATGAATTATGAATATGTAATATTAGAGATCTGCCCAAATCGTTTACATGCTTTTTGTAATTATAAATATTATCTAATATTATCTATTTTTATATAAAACCATTTTGTTTATGACATCATGAGTTGATCCATTTCACCCAAATATAAAACCATTTTTATATTTTATCTATTTTTATATAATCTTTACTTTATTAATGATTTCATGGGTTGATCAGTTTAAGCTGTACAATTGAACCATTGACCCACATCTTGATTGGTTCTTCTTAATATGATGATTTTAAAATATCAAAGGCATGCCCAAAATTTAAAAAAAAAGAAAAAAAAAAGTATCACCCCAATCTGACCACCAAGCACAAAGTTATGCTCATAGAAGTTTTCCTGTATTTTTTTTTAATAAGTGAAGTTAGATTTTATTAATTCTGAAACTATAATCATTACAAGCATCCCTCAGAGAGGCACGAGATGCTACCTCTCTATAAACAAAACAGAAAAATTACAAGTGAGCCCAAAACAAAGATTGTCTATTCACCCCTTGCTTGGCTAGAGTATCAACTAGTCTGTTTGCCGATCTCCTCACCCATTGTATCCTCAAATTCATATTCTCGGTGATCCATAAAAACCCTTTTAATTCATCCCTGTAGCACCATATCACAGATTCCGGATCCTTTAACCAACCCACCACCAATTTTGAGTCCCCTTCAATCACCAATAGGGCTGTTCATAAGAAGGCCCAACCCGACCAACCCGAACCGACCCAACCCGAGTCAGCCGGATTTTCATCAGCACCGGTCGGTTTCGGGTTGGGCAAAATCATAAACCGATATATCAGGTCGGTTTTGGTTTTCTCCCGAACCAAACCGAACCAATTAGTTTTCTAGTTCGGTAGTTCCTACTTTCCTACTTAACTAGTCTTCTACTAGAACTAGAATAGCCCTATCTTCTAGTTCTTACTTAACTAAATTGTATCTATCCTAATTTCTAGTCTTTTACACCAAATAGGCAACCCATTAGGCAATTACAATTAGAATTAGGTGTCCTTCTAGTTCTAGGCTTCTCTATCACTTTTGTACAGGAGCAAAACCGAAACCGACCCAAACCGACCAGGTCGGTTTTGCCTATCAGTGGGTCGGTTTCGGTTTCCACCTCATGTAACCCGACCAGGTCGGGTCGGTTGGGAAAACTCCTGTAAACCGACCCAACCCGACCCGTGAACAGCCCTAATCACCAAATTGGTTATGTTCAGCTCATATGCAATTTGTGCTCCTTGTAAAGCTGCAAGCAACAGTGGACCAGAAAACAAGGCTATTAATTTGCCTTCCTCTCACAACCCCCCCCCCATACCAGCAGGTCCTGGATAATCCCCCTGCTACCCATCAAAAATTCAGTTTTACATAGTCCTGAGGTGAGAGGGGGGTGCCATGTGACATTTATTCTTTCCTTTCTAGAAGTTTTCCTGTAATTTGTAACCACACAACAGGTCAAAGAAGGTCAATGGCTCAACCACCAGTGCCGATGGGTCATTGACCAAATCAAGGATTTTCAAATAAAATGTAGGTTTTAGGTTAACTCAAACCAGAATCATGACTGGGATCTACACGCATACAAAACTTTTACGATTTTTATTTTGTTTTGTCTCAAAGTAATCACAGTTCAAAACAAAAACAAGGCTACCATTTATAAGTGTAATAATACTTTATTTTATTTTTGGAAAAAAAATACAATCAAAATAAAAGAAGAAAATAATTCTAGTGTTTTCTTGGCATGGCATTATAATAATCATAATTAGTGACGGAAGTGTTGCTATCACTTTTTTTTTATAAATGGAAGTGTTGCTATCACTTCAACAAATAAAAAAAAGGAAGTAACATTTTATTTAATAAACCTTTCAAAGCTAATGATTTTTAAATTAAGTTAATTGATAGAATTTTATTGTAAAGAGCTTTTTCATAAGTAGTTTATTGTAAAGAGTTCTTGCATATAGGTATTATTTATATTACAGTTCAAATACCATTTATATTAATAAGATGTAAATTATTATTACAATTGAGAGAGAGAGAGAGCAGACAAAAGATTGGTGTCAGTAGCTCATCTTACTTTACACATTGGACTTTAGAGGGTTGAAAATTAGAAGCATCAGTCTACACTTCATCAGAATGAGACATTCGAATAGTAAAAAATAAAAAATTGTCAGCAGAAGTCATTTGATCAGAATAGATATTTGACTGGAATCAATCACTACATTTCAGGAGAAATATTATTATTTTATTTTTATAGAAGGATCAAAATAAATAAATAAATAAAAACAATTCATATTAGATATTCCCAATCCCACACATATGGATTCCTTTTAGAGCCTAACCAGCAAGTAACGTATCTGTGAAAATGATTCACATTCCTTGAAATAATACAAGACAAAGGATAAGTGAACCAGAATTAGAGCTGTAAACAGGTCGGATATGGATCGAGTCCACCAAGATTTGAATCCGGGTACATGAATAATCGAATCTTACCGATGGGATTTTACTGGATTCAGATATTAATTATCATTAGTATACTAAACTGAAAATCACCAAAATATTATATTTCATTAATAAAATGAATTACATATTATATATTACCAATGAAATGAATTAATAATAACGTTCATGCACATGCCTTTGATGAAAATATAACATTTAAACCAACTTTATTAATAAACATATATTAATTTTATATAAACATGGATACAATCCAAATATAAATGGATTTTTTTGTGAGATCCAAATCTGGTTTAATCAAATCAAATTTCAAATTCAGGGTCACATACTCAGGTACATTGACAGCCCTAATTAGATTTTTTTTATCGTCACCCTATTTAGAATATATCACGAGTGAAATTTACAACTGGTTAAGCATTGTAGGAAACTTGAGCATTTAGTCACTGAAGTTTGCTAAGCCCTTAACTTCAAAGTAGTCAAAGGTGAACCTCCTAACCTATCATCCATTCACCCATATTATTGAGCACAATTTTATTTCCATACCCTTAATTGTTACAATCCAACAGAATCAGATGCATCTACAAGTCAAACAATAAAGTCCCATTATGCAAGATACAAACCTGAAATTCACAAGAAATAACTAATACAATTAAAATGTAATCAAATATATCGACAGTTGTGCCAAGAGAAAATTTAACCAGGAACATTGAATCCATAATTATGAAACTATGAAGCAAGATATAGAGCGCCAACACACCTTGAAGCAACACGAACATTGTATTCTTTCCCTGGATGATAGAATTCTGCAAGCCCCCAATCTATAAGGCGGAGCTTACGCTGCTCATGATCAATCATGACATTGTGTGGCTTCACATCTCGGTGCATAATACCTTGTGAGTGGCAATACTCTAATGCCTATACATGAACAGCTAAAAAACTTAATATAAACTAAAAGAAGTATTCAGATCTATATTTTGATTGGTAATTGGCTAACTGCTCAGATTTGCATCTTAAGTTTGAAAACAAAGTATAGAAAAGAGGAAATTCAGTGCATATTTGCAACCATAGAGATGTTTAATACCATGATCCAAAAGTGAACAAGCTTAGCAATCAATAAATACTGCAAAGATCCAAAAGTGAACAAATGCACAAGAAAACCAATGTGGTATAAATGGGCAACCATATAGATTTGGGAGATCACCAGCAGTTAAGAGAGAGATATTTGATAGTTTTCCCTTGGGGTATTCATAGTCCAGTTCAGTGCGGTTTGGAGATCTCAGACCAAACCAGTAAAATACAGTCTGAGATTTTCTCAGACCAAACCAAACTGCTTCATTACGGTTTGAGTCATTCTATTGGGCTTAACCCAATTAGAAAGCTCAAACAACATATATGCCTGTATAAATAACAAATATAGTCTTTTAGTCACCATAAAATTTAGTCATTGTAACTTGTATGCTATGTAAGCATCAAATTTGGTTACAATGATATATTTTTAAGACCCCAAGGTCAATTGCATTAATCATCACATATAGTTTTGAGAGTTTATTTTATTATATATTATATATCATATTATATATGTATTTCAGTTTACGGTTTATGGTTTAGTTTGGTTTCTAAAATTCAGGAAAAGGAACTGACACCGTAAACTGAAATTTTAAAGAATCCCAAACCAAACAAAACAGTTTTTTTTAACCAAAACAAACAGCTTTATGTCCAGACCAAATGGTTTGGTTTGGTTCAGTTTGGTGATCTGGACTGTATAATGAACACCCCTAATTTCCCTAGTACTTTGCTTTCTTTATTGATGCCTTAGTGGAGAGGATGTTAGTGGTTAGATATAATAAGCAATAATACGAACAAGTTGCACCTCAAAACCAAGAGGAGACAATAATTTTATTTCAAGGACAACCATCATCATGTAAGCCTTATCCCAACGGGACCAGCTACATGAATCCTGTTTTAAGGACAATCGTGGCAGCATAATAATAGAAGAAACATAGAGCATCTAAATAGTTAAGAAGACAGCAAACTCCAAAGATACGTCTATGTGATAATACCATGTGGGTATCCATGTGAAACAAAGAGGTCAAAACAAATAATGTATGTTTTTTATTTCATGTTAGATGTGTTTTCCCGAAAAGTAGATGAAATTGTGTTAAAAGAGGGAGAACTTCCCTCAAAGCAAAAGATAATTACAAATTGTATACACCTGTATGGGTTGTATAGAGCCATACAAAAAAGTAATATACTACAAAATTATTATCCCACAAAATGTTATGCCAATAATTATAGCCTCGGGGAAGATTTCTTCTGGGTTTTCGGTGTATGCTTTTTAAAGACGTAAATCCTCATTGAATACTCCAATCATTATGATGTAACCCTTCACCTAATTTTCAAAAGCTTAAGCTGTATTCTAGTGGAAGTCTTCTTTATAATTCAAGGCCCCTAGAGACTAGTGGTTCTTCCTCAATTGTATGGCAGAACCTTACGAGTCTTCAGCAAAGCAATCAGCTGTGTTTGCTCTCCTTTTTATAATTAGTAAAAATGTATTAAAAAGGAAAAGAAAGATAAGATACAATCTAGGTGATAAGATATCACCGTGATAGAAAACCAATCAACACTGAACTCCCTACAACCATCTAGACACTATTAAGTTTTCTATAAAGATTTGTGCTGCTATTTTTAAAAAATTCAACATCATTCTACATCTCATTTACAGGTTCTTCTATACTTAAAGATGTATTTCAGTCATCTTTTTCTTCTTGGAAAAGAAAAAAAGTAGTGAAGTAATTTTGATAGACCATTTTTAATAGAAGACATAATCTTAGACAAGGCAGAGACAAAGAATAAGACTAATGCTACACAATACTTGCAAAAAGAAAGATAAATGAAGATGTAAAGTTCTAATGCCAGATGAAATTTGTACCAATCAAAAAATGTCAGACGAAACTTTCTAGTTTGCCTGAAAAGAATAAAAAACCATCTAGTTTTTACCCATTAACTTTATATCTATTTACACTTAATTTTGCTTGCAAAAAACAAGTAAACTTAGATATATTCGCATCCTTTATTAAATAGGAAATGTTCCAATTGAACTCCTGCCCTTACTCCACATAGTAACCTTAAATACTACAGAGTAGGGTGTAGCGATAACAGATTGGGTTAGGTGCAAAATGGGTTTAATCTGACCCTAACCTCATTGATCCTATCCTTGACCCTGGCACTGGGACATCACAGGGAAAAAGGACAAGCGCACCAGCCAAGCAAGAGGCCCTATACCATGCTCCCCAGAAGCAGTTAAGGTTTCAACCATCTTAGATGCTCAAGTGACTATAACATGGGTGAAAACCACAGACTCCAGAAACATCCTTGCTCGATCCACTTTACTTTTCAATGACTACATAAAAGGGGGAGCTCTCCCACTTGGTTCACCCCATCAATGTTGGTGGAACTATAATCCAAGTCAAGCATTTTAGCTTCATCAAGGCTCTAGAATGATGGAATGGCCTTGCCATTAAACACGGATTGGCATTACTGTCATTTTAGGGGTCGAATAGGTTGCACAAAGAACCTACAGAACGTCCCTATTGAAAACCTTACTCTGATAAAGGATCAAGAACCAAACGTGAACCACACCCTCATTTTTTGTTTATTATGTAATTGAATCAATTATTAAGAAAGAAAAATGACCCAGTACGTTGAAAACTAGATCTTACTAAATTTTCACTAAACCCAATGAGCAGAACCAAACATACTTCATCTTGAAACTTGAAAGTGTTTTCAGCCATGAGGATTACTAATTTGTGAAAATGACAATTCAACAAGGTAATCAAACATTAGATCTAGATGGGTAAGATTCATCAAATGGCAAAGTTCTGCAATGAGAACAATGCAACTGATATACTATATATAGCATGAACATATGGGGTTTATGTTCATTATTGATTCTTCCCTAAAATGAAATAAATAAGGACCATAATAAGCTTACCTTCAGCAATTCATAGATGTAATATCGAATATCATAGTCTGATAATGTTGGATAAAGCACTTTAAAATCAGTATTATTCACATATTCAAATATAAGGCTGGGCGTCTTTGATTGTTGGTCTCTGACGATATCCAACAATTTAATAATATTTGGACCACCACAAAGGTTCTGCAGTACCTTTATTTCCCTCCTAATCTGCATAAACACATAAAAATTATAATAAACCTTTGCGATCATGAACTAAGACCAGTTTAGTGTAGTATAAAACAAAAATAATACAAGGGACCTGCAAATATAGTAATTATGTAATATATGTCATCAAAAGCAGAAGTGCATAAGCCAAAGGCTAAAACAGTAAATTTTCATAAAACCCAAAGAATTGGCAATATATATATATAAGGAACAAAAGATAAAGCAGCTACTAAATTAAGAACCATTAGAAAATGAAATTCTGTGAACATATTACAGTCCCTCTTTTCAACAACACAATGAAAGTTCACAATTCAATGGGGAAAGAAAAAATCAATTATGTCATAATTGTCTGACCTTCACGAGAAATTCAATAGCCTCCTTCCTAGTTATCTGACAAAACACACATGCAACATCTTTTTTTCATTGAATATGTCAATAATACCCTTAAGAAAATGTGATTCATACCCAATTCATTGCCCTTTTTCTTGTGAGATTTTTTGTAGCATTTCATAATGCTATTTGGACAGCAACGGGTTATTCCTGGTTCTTCTCAGTCTCATATTAGCACAAGGCCTTCTAGGGGTCTCAGGAAGAGAGGTGGTCTTGTGGAACCACATACCTTTCCCAGTTTGCTTATATATTTAGAGCAGGTATTACAAAAGATAGTTTGACCAAAAAAGGAGTCTGGTTACAAGGCTACCAAGTTCAACCATCTTTTTTACCAACTTGACAGAATTATTTGTGATCCCTTGAGGATTGAACGGTCATATGTGTGGCATATTGCATCATCCATTGTTCTTTTTGTTTAATCTGCCCCTTCCTTTTTTATAGTTATCTTGATACAATAATGCTTACCAAGAAAAAATAACATTGAGACTAGAAAGATGAGTGGAAGCACAAGTGTCAGCTATCCATAATCAAGAAAGTTGACAGTATAAAATTCTAGAGAGAGCACAATAACATGGAATATATATATATATATAAAAGCCTGTGTTAATAAAAAAAAAGGGATACCCAATATGACTCACTCACTACCCCTCTAGCCATATAATCTGCCAAAGAATAAGCTGACCATGGGATCAATCTGAACAGATATTCACTCTAGATGGCCGACATTCTAACCTCTAAGTGGCAAAGCGGGCATGGCCTAGGTGTTTGCTGAGCATCTGACCAATGGTGATATGCAAGTTACCCTTGACATCCACTCCATTACAAGATTCAGAACCCAGTGAAAGCATCAGCCTAAGGCCCTGCACCAAGGACAAAGATCTTCATTGACCATATGTCCCTGATCCAGCTGGTTCTGAATAATCTACAATAGTATCTTCCCTGAAGCCTCTGAATGCCCCTCCAGTGCCTGATGAACAAAGGTCAAACAGCTATCCAAGTTAAGCTTGAAAATTGCTTGAATTGGGAGGGTTCCATCCAATTTTAAAGAATGGCATAAAGTGTCTCAACCAAAGTTCAATTTTTTTTTTTTTGATAAATGATTGAAATTTCATTCATGATATTCAGAATGATATTACAATACAGCCTGCCCAAAGAAGAGGCACGAGCTGGTACCTCTCCACAACAGCAACAACGTACTACCTCAGACTAGTAAAAGAACGTTTCCAGAGCTGCCCAGAATAAATGTTCCCTTGATACCCCTTGTTTAGCTAACCCATCCGCTATGTTATTAGCTCTACCCACCCACTGATAATTAACAGTCATGTTCCTTTTTTTTTACCAATTTCATTAAATTAAGAGAATAGAGGGAAAGGAATACAAAGGGAGATAAAATAACTTAGCTCCCCAAAAATCAGAAAACTCAGGGAAAGCAAAGAAAATTAAAAACTAGCCCAGAAAACAGCCTCCCTATTCACTCCTTGCTTGGCCAACCCATCCGCAAATGAGTTGGCACTCCTCTTCA